CTTTCATTAATTTATGGTGAATTGTTTTCTCCCCCATAGGAAAGCATGGAGCTGTCAGATTTTGACAGGTCCATTGGTTCCTATGGGCCGAAAAAAAAATTCACCATAAATTAACGAAAAGTCAGATCAAAGCCAAATCAGGTTTGCACATGACTTAGGGGGTCCTCTAACGAATCCAAGCATTTAGAACCGTTTTTGACCCTTCTAAGACACTTTTTAAATTGAAAAAAGAAACATCGTTAAGTGAAGCAGGGGACCTAAAATCGCATTCGTTATGCGAAGCATGGTCCCAAACTTCGCTAAGCGAAAATCGCCCATAGCAAACATCATTATACGGTGCATATTATTTTCTAAAAAACACATTATTATGTGAATTCATCGCTAAACGAGGCAATCGTTAAGCGAGGCACCACTGTATGCACTTATTAGGAGATAAATAATTGCTTATTCTCATATCTGCTAGGTTTTGGGAATATACTTATGATTTCACATACTAGACCAATTTGTAACATCTCTCTGTGTCAGCTGTTTTCCTGTAACCTGAAGAGCTGATATATAAGAGTTTGTGGACTTATATGTTCATATCAATGCTAGGAAAATATTTTACCCCCATGCTGAGGGAATGCCCACTAAGTAGGTGTACAGGGAATGGTGCCTCTATCTAGGCTGTGTTGAATTTTACCTTTTTTGTGAAAACTCTGCAGAGAGGAAATCTCAGACTGAGTAACATATGTGAGGCAGCAGTCCATTCCTAAGTCTTTTTCCCTCCCTAAGGGGCTGTTGGGCAGACAAAAAGCTTCAAGAGAAGCAAATGATTCTAGGGCTCCTCCCTGAATGCTCTACTTTAACACTATCATGTTGTTTGCCCATGCAGTCACAAAGATGAGGCATCATAATTCCCTGAACTTTACCATAGATCATTTTAAGATGTGTGTTTATAGATATTAAATAGATAGATATTGCCTTTTCATAGATATTAAAAATTAAAATATTTGGCAACAAAATACTATGAGTGCACATTGTAAAGTTCTCCAGAAATATTTCATTCTATTTACTTTTTATGTGTGAACCTGGGAATATTCTGAAAGTGCATGTGTATAAGGGGTCTTTGAACTTTGTAAAAATACATCTACGTAGATTTGTTGCAGCAAACCCAACACTGGCAGAGCTATTTCACAGGGAGAGTTTGTACTGAATGCACACAAATCAAAGGATTCTTCCATTGTATTCAGTATTTGTTTGTTTGTTTATTTTCTTATTGCATTTGTACCCCGCCCAGTATGTTGGTAGAGCTTCATAAATGGCAAGTATAAATGAATAAAGCACATAATTAGAATACAGTTGCTTCAGAAAGAGACAGAAGTAAATCACAGAAGCATACTTGCTGTGAGAACAAAGGTTGAAAGGCTCAGAGTCTTGTAAGAACCAGGCTGTGATTTCAGGACTTGGACAGTAGACTGGATATCAGGTCCAGGAAGTTACAGAGATCTAAAAATCAACAGACAAATGGAACCTGCAGAACAACTTCATAATAGTGCCTTTCTTTCTTTTTTTTAGGTTCTATTTTGGAAAAGATTTCCATTCAGAAGAGAATTGGGAATAAAGATAAAAGTGGTTGTGTAACTCCAAAGATTATCTCACTAACTATAGGAGATGAATTTTTGGGTATGGTTGCCCATATACAAACACCAGGAGATTTTTTTTGCCAACAGGTTGAAAATGGCTGTAAGTCTTTTTTTCAGTTAAGCTGAGCATCGACAACTGATTTAGATTTAAAATTTTAAGATGCAGCAGAACAGAGGATAAAGAAGTATTTACATGATTTCTCTCTTGAGTTCATGGGAGAATGACAGTCTAAAATGAATATGGCTTCTAGTTTGCACTCAAAATGTGCGCTGTTGTTTCATAAACAATGTATGGCCTGCCAAAATGTCTTCTTTCCCCCTTTATTTTAACTTAAGAGAACCAAAATTGCCATCAAATGGCTCCTGGTCTTCTGGGATAACATATCTGAAATTCAAAGTAAATATCTGAAATTCAAAGACATTGCACAGTTTCTCTTCTACCTCTGTGCTTTTGAGATTATATTTCTCTTTTATTGTGTAGCATAATTTTCACAATACCTATATTGTTAGGTAAACTATCTGCACTTCAAGTATCTCTGCATGAATACTGTGAGAAGGTCTCTGCTATCCCAGATTTCTGCCCATCAGTGGGAGACATGTGCTGTGCCCAGTTTACAGGTATGGAGAAAGGAGAAACTGCTTGAATGTCATCCTGATTTTTGCCATATATTTAGCCCCACTTAGTGCGCATGACAAGAAAAAATTATTGGGCTCAGCATATCATTCACCACCTGGTGCTGCCATTTCTGAATCTCCCATTAGAGCCCCAGCAAGGAAGGTACTATGTGTGAGTGTGAAAATAAAGCAAATTTAAGGGAAGGGAAAGAAAGAGTGCCAGTGAGAAAGGATTGTGTAGTCAGAGAATTAGATTGAGAGGAGAGGGGGCTGAAGCACTTATCTCCCCTTTTGCCTGGCAAATAGCTTATCAGTGGCAAGCTCAGGGAGATGAACAAAAGCCTGTTGCCCGGTAATCTTTTAATTTTTTTTCCCAAAAATCAATTTTGGAAGGGCTAGAAAATAGAGAATTTTCTTGTATAGGTGGAGCTTGCATGATTGGAACAGAAAGTCAATGGTTTACAATTTGGCTGTTAGCAAAGACAGTATATACAAAACAAGTTGTTTTTGTTTTTCAGAAGACAAACAGTGGTATCGTGCATCAGTTTTGTCTTACACTTCTGAGAAAACAGTTCTAGTGGGCTATGTAGACTATGGAAATGTTGAAGTCCTTCTGTTGAGTAAACTTCGGCCAATAATTCCAGAATTAATGGAATTATCAGTTCAAGCTATCAACTGTACCCTAGCAGGTATGTAACAAAGTGAATAACATGCCAATTAAGAATAGCTTGTAGGATACCCACTATACAGTAATTGCACTGCATATAAACCTGAACTTTACCTACAGTGTGAGAAAAAGAAATGAAGACTAAAGCCAGATAAAGGCAAAAGAAAAGAAAAATCTCTCACTAAGGAAGAAAAGCATAATTTGCATTCTAGGAAATCCATTTTCTCTTGGACAAGGTCAGGAAACAGGTGGATTGGCTTTTAACCAGTGTAGTGGCAATATGTCACCCACAGGCTTTCCTGCTAAAGTGCTTTAAAGTTAATAAATTTCTAACCCTTTTGATTGTGGGAATGCATCAGAAGTGGAACGAAGTTGTTCTACAGAGTTATGTACTATCTACCCATCTATTACCCAGAACATAGCTGATCTCACTTACTTTGGGAGCTAAGCCTGTTTGAGCTTGGGTATCAGTGATCTTTAGGTACAGCTAGGAAGGAAACCTGCTTAAGCTCTTCAGAGCCTATGCCAAGCAGAGTTGACAGTCCCATTACTATCAAGTAGACAAAACTAGTGGTCTGGGTCAGTATAAGTTAGTGTCCTTATCTTTGGGGATCTGCATTCAGACTTAGCCTTATTCTGCAGCAAGATAAAGAAGGAAGAATTCAAGTCCTTATGGGTGCCTTCTGCCACCGCCATTACTGCCATCCCTAAAGAGTAATGTTCCCTCTAATTTTTGCTAGCTCAGCATGGGATTCCCATTTACTTCCAACTGGCAGTAAACGGGCAGCATGGGATTGATGCAGCTTGGAGGGAATGGTGCTAAAGAGACAAGGTTCCAATTCTTTTGGGTTTTGAAATCTCTTACTTAACTTGACTAAACATCACTGCTCCCTTTTATAACTCAGCTATCTTCTCTTAGCTTCAGAGGAGGGGAATCAGAAGTGTATATGTGAGAGAAGCAACATGTCTGCTTTTCTGTTGGCATAATCATGAGTGGTCCATGCAAAAATAGGGGCTAGCATGGGCTTGTATGCAGCCTGAGCAGACTAGCCTAACAGTCCTTCCTGCAAACTTGGACAAAGAGTACAACAGTTGGAAGGGGTGTGTGATCATTCAGTGTTCTTCATTGTTTTCTGTGTGAATCACACATTGAGTACTCCGCACTTGTACAAGAATCCTCAGAAAATTGTGGAGCTCAGTAACACCTAAGATTCAATGTTTTCTCCCTAGTAAGCATCCTCTCCCTCAAGTGACCGTCCTAATTTCTGTCTCTTCTGCCGCTGAGGCAACTGCAAAGGAGCTTCCACAACAGCAGCATTTTTTAAATCAGTGACATCTTTTAGGAACTTTTTTTACTTACCTGTTTATCATCGTTCTCCTACCCTTCTTTTTTTGCTGATTTTTTTTCTTTTTAAAAAGTGACAGCTATTGTCATTTTCCCATCCTTTTTGTATTGCTTCTTCAGGCCTGTTTAAGAGTTACAAATTCTGTTCTAACAAGATACTGTTATCTGATGGCCACTCTCTTTGCCTCTGCTGCTTTGGGGAAGGCCACATACTGCAGGCCTCTTCCATCCGCAAGAGTTTGTGAAGGTTGCCCTGCATAACGAGCAATCCTGACTCAAGTGCTTTCTCTGGGAGATGACCCTACAGGCTGTGGATTCTGTTTCGAAGCAGACCAGACCCACTTCTAAGATCTTGCACTGTAAGACTCCTTGTAGGAAGTCTGTTATGGAGGTTCTGATGGAATTGGACTGACAGATCCCAGTAACCCAGGGATCAAATCTTACTGTCTTGCCCAGCAAACCATCCTAGAATACCCCGATTTCAGGTACATCAGCACTGGTGGCATTGTATGTTGCAAATTGCCCAGAGTGGCCTTTGGCCAGATGGGCAGTATAAAAAGTGAAATAAATAAATAATAAATAAGCCAAGGGGCAAATCATGGTCTATGTCAGCTATTCAGTCTGGTCTTCGGTTGACTTGATAGAACAAGAGCAAATGCCCTCCTTTTAGGGGTGCCTCCAGGTCCCCATCAGTTGTGACCTTTGCTTGGAGAGAGGTAGCATATGCTTTTCTTTTGTATTTTGCATGCCACTATTCTTCCTGGGGCTGAATATCCATCCTTGTTGCCCTTATTTTAATGCCAAGAGGACAGGTTGTCTTCCAGAGCTCTTCTTAGGGGATAATACTGTGGACATCGATGGGGCATCAGCTTCCCCTTCCAGATAGAGTGTCTGCTATTGACAAGAAACATAACCACCATTGACATCATGAAGATGATTCCTCTTCTGCCACCTGGGGATGAGACAGAGCTCGTTGGAATGGACATCACTGTTCAACTCCTCAATCCCTCTCCCCTTCAAGGTTTGGCACAGAGACAAGAGCACTAGACCGAGGTACCTCTCAACATCAGCATACACCTCAATGCTAATGCTCACAATCAGACATGCTGTGACCCAGGTGAAGGACTGCCAGTGACAATGATCTTGTGATAAGAGTCTTAAGGCAGCAGCAAAATCAGGAACAGTACTTGATCCAGCTTATATACTTACCTCAGACTTCTGAAGGTTCCATCAGCACCTCACCTTTGGCCCAAATATCTGATACCTGCAAAAAAAAACCAAGAATAGTGCACAATCAACTGAGAGCAACTCCTCATCCTAGGAGGAGGACAATATTTTATCACTAAGTTCCCCATTACCTATTTCTTGACTCAGACATGGGTGGTATCTGGAGGACACCAAGTCCATTTTGAATCTTATGTGGCAGATGGCCTGATCTCTCCAGATAAAAACCAAGAGGCCACAGGCTGAACCTACTTTTTGACAGGGTTCAATGGAATTTTGCTTCTTCTGTCCAAATATCATACCTGCCTTTTTGATCTTTTTAAGGAGTCCAGTAGAAATTTACCTTGTCTCCCATCCCATCAAGAACTTGTACAGGGTGCAGGAGAATGATGTTGGGTTCATATTCACAACCCAACTCTGTTACTGTCAGAAACTTGATCCAAGAAAAAAGCGTACACCATTCCTGGCAGCAGGAAGGAGGGAAAATGGACTTCATTGGTCACCATGTTTATTCTATGGCAGCATTAAGCATTAGAGACATATCAGGCAGCTATGGGGGCCTATCATCAGTTTGTATGGGAGAATTTGCCTGAGGACAAGAGAATTATGGCTTTTACTGTCCAACAAGAAGCCCTCTTTTTAGGCTCGTGACAGATCCACTCTGGACGGATTGCACACCAAATAACATGTCTGCTGCAGTGGCTCTTTATTGCTATGTGTGGTTCAGTTTATGGATATCAGAAGAATCCTGTATCCGCATTGAAGACCTATTTGACGAGGAGGAACTTTTCAATAAGAAGACTGATGACATGATGGAGAACCTGTACAAAAAGAGAAACACGCTCAAGTAGATGGGTTTTGCTTCTCTGTCTTTTCTCCAAAAGCAGACATAGTGTAAAGCACAGTGGAGAGGTCCACAGTTTTATCATTGAAGCTTTCTATTAAGAAGCTACGAACCTCACCTCAATCCTTCCCACGTTTCAACAGACTTTCCACCTCTGGCTTCAGGTCCAAGTGATACACATTCCTCAAATGGCCAGGTAAGAAGCCCAAGCAGGGAATTTGACTTCTTCAAGACTGGGACCAAAGTCATAACCTATAAATTCACAGATGATCACTTAAAGAACTACAGTTACAGGTAAGTTAACCTGTCCTATTATTGGAGGTAGCAAAGCATCTTCGATTAGCATTACTTAGATATATGGAGCAGATTCTGGTTTTTAAGCAAGATAACCTGGGAGCACCTCAAATGTTGTACTACAGCTCCTGATTACTCCTGATATTCCTTCATATTAGTTAAGAATTGTGTGACATTCAGACATCTAGGGATTCACATATTCCTGTCTCCTGGAGGTATGTATGCTATTTTGAATAGGTGAACGTGAGGAATATATATGGTTGAGCAAGGGGCATGCAAGTCTCTTAAAGATAATAGGAACTCTGTGATGTTAACCATTATGTTACTGTTGATAAAGGAAATGCTTTTATTTGCAGTCCAGCTATGGCAAAGCAAGGTAGTTAGATGTTTAAAGGAAGAACAGTAATTCTCTTTTGCTTTGAAGGTGTGAAGCCAGCATCTGCAACCTGGTCTACAGAAGCAACTTCTGTCATGAAGAAGCTACTGCAGAATAAAATGGTTGCTATCAAAGTAATGGATAAGAAAGATAATACTTTTGTGGTAGAACTCACAGATGAATCTGTGACTCCAGTTATAAATGTTTCCAGATACCTTCTAGAAACAGGGTTTGCGTTGGAGGACTCTCCCACTGCCTTGACAGTGATTAAGCCAGACACGTCCGTTGGAGAAGTGAATGGTAAGCATGTTACTGTAAAGACATTATGGTTTCATACTGTTTCTTTCGCGTGATTATAATATGTGCATGAAGATGTGGACTTGGGTACAACACAAGACCATCCTTTTTCCTTAAACACAAATTATAAATGTTAATGTAAAAGCAGAACTTTTCCTGTAGTAGAGGAAGACATCCTATGGACTGGATTTCCCCTCCTACTCACTTCTGAAGGAAAGAATAAGTGGCTGGTCTATGTCTCTATGGCTCCCCTATATGAAGGAGGCACCTCTTGCTGGTTCAATTCTTCCTGTCTCCATTTCTTACCAGCTGCCTGTTGTCACTCCTTATCTCTGCTGTAGCTTTTGCTTTCTATTTCTATTCTACTCTGCCTTTTAAAAATCTTCAGTTCCATACAACTGCTTAGCTTTCCTTCCTCACCTACCCTCCCATCAGTGGACCCGGATGGCTGAGGAAGAAAGGACAGTCCATGTCTGTTGAGAGACTCATCCTCCCCAACAGAAAACATTGCCTCTGACCTCATCATTTCAGACAGAGCCATGAGTGCAGGTGAGGAGGAACTGAATCCATCCATCCATCAATTCAATTTGTGTACTGCTCCCATTAGTGTCAAGGCACTACTCTGAGCAGTTACAACATGTATAACAGAGTCTTCCTTGTTTAAGGAGCACACTCTGTCCATTCAAGGGTTTGTAGTGCCGAGGGCCCTCACCTGAGAGCCACCCACCCCTTTCATTATAGATGGACATTTCCTCTATCTGGAATTCGTTAACTAGGTCAAGCTATTTACCACTAAAGAATCAGGGAATTAGAGGAACTGCCACCTCTGGCTCCCCAAGCATTTTTATGGGAACAGACATGGTTTCCCTCTTCTATCACGCCTCCCTGAAACTAAAATACCAGCAACAAGTAGCGAAACAGAAATTAACAGGCACAGCTAGCATTTTTAAGAGGCAGAAAGTCCACCAAGGGGAGAGGGAGATTGGACTGCCCTGCTCCATATCATTAGGGAAAAAACCCAGAAGGGCACATCTAAGGCAGGGCTTTGATTTGCATGCCCCCCTTACACTTATGGAGTGGGAGAGGAATAATTCTCTGTGTCTCTATGACTGTCTGAAAGAAATGAAGGAGAACTTTCTGAAGAGGAGGAACAGGAGGAGCTCTATATCTTCTAGGCAGTTCAACATAGAGGACTTAAGCCTCCTAAGGAAAAGCATTAAAATACCAACCCTAAAAGAGCCCTCCAAAAGACCCTCTGAACTAGAACTATTCCAGTGCTCACAGAAAGCATTTTAAAATGCTATATATGATACTTCAAACTTGCCATTCCCCAGAAAATGTATGAATGCCTTTTAAGTGTGAATGGATGAGGCCTGCCATATGGAGATCCATGCTGTTATACCTTCAATCAGTACTTACCAGATTACAGGTCTCAATTGTACTTGTCCAGGTCTCTTCTGTGGTCGCTGTGTCCATGTATGCTAAGGATGGAAAGAATGCACAAAAAACTAAGAGGTAAAATAGATAAGAGTCAGCATTTAAGAAAACTCACAATAACTTTTCACTGTTAGAGTAGTGTTTGTATTCACTATCATTCTTTCCTATGGGCAAAACAATGATTGCCGCTCATTCTCCTCTTAGAGATTAAATCAAAGTATGAACAAAATATTCAAGGCATCAGCATTCCGAGCTGATGTGAGTTTAGAATTGTTGTAGAAATTTGGTAATTCCTTTTTTTAAAAAAGATAATTAATTAGCAAAACATAAGAATACAAAAACAACTCCTGCAGCACATGGGAAGGATGGAGAGAGAATGGCCAAAAAACAAAAAAAAAACCCTTCCATCAAGCCCTTTCTGTTCTCACTAGCCCTTGGTATATAAAAGACAAAAAAATCACCCTAGAAGAAACTTGGATACAAAAGAAAAAATTCTTACAGCTGATCTTCAGTTATACAGTGGTGCCTTGCTTTACGATTGCCCCGCGTTACAACGAAACCGTATTACGACAATCTTTTTGCAATTGCGATCGCAAACGATGGTCTGAATAGGGTTTTTTCACTTTGCGATGATCAGTTCCCCGCTTCGGGAACCGATTCTTCGCAAAACAGCGATTTTCCTCCAGCTGATCGGCGGTTTCAAAATAGCCACCAGGTAAATAAAATGGCTCCCCGCTGTTTTCTGGGACGGATACCTCGCTGCACAGGCACTGAAAATGGCCACTCTATGGAGGATCTTTGCTGGACGGTGAGTTTCCAGCCGATTGGAACGCATTAAACGGGTTTTAATGCGTTTCAATGGGCTTTTAATTTTCGCATTACGACGTTTTCGTTCTACAGCGATTTCGCTGGAACGAATTAATGTCGTAATGCGAGGCACCACTGTAATCATAATGCTATGAAGGAGGAAAAATGAAAAAAAAATCCGGGTTTCATCTTCATAGGAAGCTCAGTCTGCCATTGCAGCTGCATGGCAGAGGGCAGGAGCAAAAATATACATGTCTACTCTTGATGATGGTGAAGGAAGAAAAGAGGGACAAACAAGCAGAATCAGAAACAAACAGGAAAGGGGAAGGGGCAAACATGAGGAAAAAGTTAAATTAGTGGGAGGAAAGAGGCAGTCTTCAATTAGTCAAAGCTCCTTCCCACTGATACCCATTGTTTTTCTTTTCTTTTCATTTTTAAGTATTTATTTAAGAACAGGGATGGAAAGTACAGAAAATAAGGGGGGAATAGGGAAAAGGGCAAAAGGTTTTGGGGGATAGGAGAACATAAAATAT